ACGTCAGCAACGGAAGGCTCCACCAGATAAGCCTGCTCGGCTGTTACATCCTATTTCAGTACCCGAAACTATGTTTGTACAGATTGGCATGGACCTCTTGGCCCAATTCCAATATCGGATAATGGGAACAAGTGGATTATAGTCTTGGCAAGATCTTATAAGCAAGATCTTGACAAGCTATTCATGTCAAGATCCTGCTCCAAGTTCTTCCACAGGACATCGCTCTTTCTTTCACGCGAGAAAAACGGTGCCGCGCGTTTATTACACGGCCTCCCGATGTATCTGGGTGGATCTTGAAATCAGAGAACAGCATGGATCCCCAACTCCAAATCTAAAGGTCCCTGGTTCGATCCCGGGTTTCGGCACTAAAATTTATGTGAACGCTATGATGTTAACTGGCGCGAAAGACTTCATACAGAAGCCATTGTTCTTGTGATCAAACGTGATCTACTTCTTTTCTTTGCCTTCTCTGGCTAGCTGCGTTTATAATATCGTCAGAGTTCGCAAAGCAGTCATTAACACACCCACCAGCCTGCCCAATGTAACACACCTACCAGTCTAGTAGTCTGCCCATTGCGCGAGCACCCTTCCAAAGTAAAAAACAAGCTTTCTTCTGGTGGTTTCCTGAATATGCATTGTAAGACATGTGGGTGCACTTCGTTCTTTGATCAGTGTGTCATCTTCGGCCACAATTATAACCAGTTGATGAGGGAAATTATTGAGGCGAACGCTATCGCAAAATGTGCGAAGCTGTGTGTGAGTATGCCGTCTGTGGCCTTATCTCAAAAAGAGCTCAATTTTCTGGAGCGCGTGCTGTGAGGCACTTCTATAGAATTGATAATTTGTAATCAGATCACAATTACGTTTCCTTGATAGTGTGCTGTGCCACACGTTTGCGGTTTTGTCATGTGTGTGGCGTCACGTGTAATGAGCTATATAATGTGTTGTAAGGGTACGCAATAAACAAAAGTTGGAAGTTAGCACTCACAATGTCGTCTGTTTTTTCCCTTTCTTGACTGCATGGTATCTTTCCTTCACGCTCAAACTGAGCTGCGCTGAAGCTACATCATTTTGTCTGTTTCATACAACAGGAGCAACGCTGTGGAATCTATGCAAGAAGTTCGGCCAGCAAAACGTATACCTCCGCACGTTTCGCTGTCGTTCGCATGACATCTGATAAGTGCCGGTGCACCCTCGCGTTTCTTTGGGATTCCGTTTGCGCGACTGGAGAACAAAAGAAATAGGGGTGAGCACAAAAGAACGCGGGTACCGAATGACCCTGTGGTGTCCTATTCTGCACTGACACTGAGAGTCCAGGTGGCCGTCATCGTGACGTACCCACAGTAGAAAGCCTGTATGTGACGTCACACGAAAACTAAACTATAGAGCCACATATTAACGTTCAACGCCTTTTTCAATCTGTAAAGCACATGACATCTTCAACTATTTCTCACCCTATTATGGAAAGAAAAATTTATTTTTGGTGGTAAGAACATCAAACTACTTTTTTGTTGCGAACGCATCAACTGCAAGAATTCTCGCTAGCTTCCGCAGCGTTGCACATGATGTGTGAATTAGAGTATAGTGAACCGTGTTTTGGTATGCTGAAATAAATAGGTCTAAATGTCACGTTGCATATCCATTCAATGTTTTGATAGCAGCGACGTCACATGCAAGAACTACAAAAAAATAAATATGAAAAGCTGTCTGATTTCTACCAAGTGCCAACGGTTACGGCGCATCGTATGTGCATGCGACCGTTGCAGTGCTTCACATCCTAGAAAGCTATTATTAAAAGCAATTGTTTGCTGCGCGATGTCGACAGAAGGACAGAAGAAAGGGAGACACGCGCGCCGCGCTCGCAACAACAACGGCGTTATTCACTTCCATGTTACAATTTTCGTTTGTTTTTTCGCTGATAGCGCTGCGTGCGTTTCTTCTTCTTTTTCTTTTTTTTCGTCGTTGTGCCGAGTTCGCGCGGCAAAAAATTGCTTTTAATTATCTCCAACAAGCTCACTTTGCGATTCCCTCCAGGAAGCTGAGCGAGAATTCACACATCAGCCCCGTCTTCTGCCACCCAACTCCCCGCCTCTGTTTAAAAACATCCGCGCAACGCCCTTGAGAACGACCATTCTTTTTACGCAACACGCAGCGCAGCTTTCGTCCAGTCACATTAAACTTAAGATATCTTGGGTGCACGTTAAAGAACCCCAGGTGGTCTAAATTTCCGGAGCCCTCCACTACGGCGTCTCTCATAATCATATAGTGGTTTTGGGACGTTAAACCCCACATATCAATCAATCAATCAAACTTAAGATATCACTGAGTCAGCAAAAGGCCGATATTGAGGCACATTTATAAAGCGCATTTGTAAAGAGGCGCACGATACGCAGCCCATCCAAAGTATACTTATGGCGTTCTTTCGACATGATAACATCTTCAGCACGACTGATTTCTGACGTCCAGCTCACCTCAAATCAAATAACAATATTACGACGAGATTATGCACCTTGACTGTACCAACCAGCCTGTTAGGCTTTTCGTAATTTACATGCCATCCTGTGGTCGCTTTGACTATGCAAACATTGAAATAATATGCAGCACTTCGTAAAGGCACTTGTAACGTAAGCTTCATTATAAAGCTTTGAAGTTTCGTTCGTCAAGGCTTACGTTGACAAGCACCAGACATGATTGACAGGAGCACAGCACAAGCTGCATAAAAAATTGCGCTGGTGGCCGCCGAAACGCTTTGACTTTCTATATAGCGTGTTACGCCTACATTAGTACAGTGAGCGTCTTCAGTGATGCCTCCACTGTAATCACGAATATCATCAGCAGCCGAGGCGTGGTCACACCGCCCATGCTGCCCAACAGTTCTACTTTTAGCATGACGCTGCCGTTACCATCATGAAAGATTGGTGTGATTGTGCCTAGTTAATGATACGCTGGATAGCTTTCACGGTAGTACTACCTGCCATGTTTTGATGCTCGCAATGGTATACGTTCGTGTAGTGTAGCACATGCAGATGACCCGAATTATGAATGTTAAAATTTTCTCTCCTTTGAGGCTGGAAACGTGGTCAAGTTGGTAGGACATAATTGAGTACACGAACAGCGCAACAGACTCGGACAGAGGAAGGTATCAACATTTGAGCGCTGTGTGTTCTTACCTTTCTCTGTCCGTGTTTGTTTTGCTCTTCATATATTGAATGTCCCTCCTTTTCTGTCTAACTTTTATTGCGTTATCCCCTTTCCTGCAGCCTAACGGGATCAGCCATGGTTAACTTTTCTGCCTTTCTTTCATCCTTATTCTCTCTCTTTTCAACTGTTGGTGAATATGTTTCACCTGTCCCACACTCCTAATCCTGCATAGCAAGTTCCCTTGTTCGTTGATGCAAAATTCATTCGAGGAATTCGCAGCTCGAAGGAAAGAGCAAAGGCAGCGGCCGTTCGAGGCTTCGACACGCAATGGTATATCACCTCTGCCCACATTCTTTTGAACTGGGTGTTGCCATACTTCACTGCACAGAGGCATACAATAGTAATAATAATAATAATAATAATAATAATAATAATAATAATAATAATAATAATAATAATAATAATAATAATAATAATAATAATAATAAACTGCTGGGGCTTAAAGTCCCAAACCCCCGCCATGATTGTAAGAAACGCCGTTGTGGAGGACTCCAGAAACTTCGACCTCCTGCATGGGGTCCTCAAACGTGCACCTGAATCTAAGCACACGTGGCTGCCAGGCTTCAATCCAGCGTCCTGTTGGTCGAGCACCATATAGCCACTATACCACCGTAACGGCAACACATAAAACAGGAAAACACCCGGGGCTACTGGAGTATTCTGTAATGAATGTGAGTGCAGCATCGCCGGAAATCTTCAATCGAAACTATGTATCAGGAAATGAATGCAGAGTGAGACATAACACTGTTGCATCACTGCTAAAGAGACTTCGTCATTGTAGCGTTGTTGTCGGTACGTGTAAATGAAAACTGCACACCATAAGGCATTGCGGTCCGCACGACGGGCAATCGGCAACGTCGGCCGCGATCTCGCTGGCGTTAAATCTGGCTGCTAACGCTTTGTTACGGGCACGAAAAATTCCATAAGCAGTGTAATTCTGCAAACTTTGCAAATTGCACGAATAGTAAAGTTCATTATTTATTCAATAAGTTCCATAAATAGAGAATCCTCGCTAAAAATAGCCGCGATAAACATCAAGCAGGATCCGCACGTCTGTAACGACGTCCGAACATCTCATGGATAAGTTTGCGAATATTCCCAGCAGTGTGCAAAAGTAATGTTAGCCTGTCTGCAAATAAATTGCAATAGCAATAATGATAAGTATACCCACCTCTCAGTCCTCTTGGGTCCGGCGCTTTTTTAGCCAAGCTCTACGTCAAAAATTTGCTCAGACACTATGCCAGAAGCAGCCGCGCAAGCACTCAACCTCGTTCCAGGAAGACAAAACAACGAAAAAAAAAAACGGGTGACGCAAAAGCAACGTGTACGCAGCTCACGTTTTAGCAGGTTGTTATTCGTCACTCCAGGTCCTGAAACTTGCGCCAGCAACACTGTTAATACTAAGCAATATTGTCTACCACATTCCAGCATATAAAGGTGTTTTCGCTTTAGACTACGTGTGCTTTTTCTTGGGTGCTGCTGCAGTTTCTAGATTAGGTCTTTCTGACGGTGCTTCGTCAGTGGCGAAAGAGTGATCATTGCAACTGAAGGATTTGTGGAGATGATCCTGCTCATTCTTAGGTCATTGTGGTCTTATGGCTGAACGACACAATAGATGCAGGATTTGCGAACTCCTCCGGGCACTCCTTCATTCTGCTATTCAACCACCCGAACTGATGAGCTATGGAACTCAACTCTTTCCTGGGGGCACTTCTCTGCTTAGCGAACAGTTGCAAACAATTTGTGAGTGTAATCTTTTACGTCGTACGTTTGATACAGTGAATGGTTGGTAAACAATATGACTGAAAAGTCGTGTATTTTATTGCATCAGCAAAAGCATCAAAAGCTCCAAAGAACACTTGATAAAAATACGCATGAAGTGTTTTGTACTCACAGACGTGCGATGCCATTTGTGAAAATAAGATGTTTTTGCGACATTATAGTGTCCCGTATATACAGCGTACCCACACATCTCTGGATACAAGGTATTGTTCTTGAGGCGCATTTCTCCCTAGCAGCTACACACACCAGAAGTATTTTTCGTGCCACTGATGAATTTCGGAAACTGTAATATATTGGTCAAGAATAATAAGCGTAATTTTCCCGAACGTCAGAGTCTGCCTTTAGGTTTCACCATAGGGACAATCCAGCCTCCGAATCGGTTCTCGATTTCCTTGGCAACAGCCAGACACAGCCTGTCGTTTCCCCTCTTGGCCACAACTTGAACGCACAGGGGCAAGTTATTCGCTGACCGCATCACGGGACACACCGTGACAGGCACTTTGAACAAATTAAACAAAGCCGTCATGCTGGACGAATCCATAAGTGCCAGGTCCTGGTTCTGGAATGGGGCAACGTTCGGGGTAGCAGGCAGAATCAGAATCCCGTCGTCCCCCAGTGTCTCTTCAAGTCGGTCACGGGCGTCTTCTACGGACTTGACGTAGGCCTCCCCTTTCTGCTTCGAACTAAAGCTGCAAAACCACGCGATGACGCAGGCGGCTAAAGCCGCGAGTGTGAGCCGGCCAGCTCCCACAATGTATCGGACCAGTTCGAGGGGAGTGTTGAATCCACCGGGCCTGTACATCTCGGCCAGCGGCGTCGGATCCTTGACGCCCAGAAACTTGAACCAAAGGAACATGCCGAATCGCTCCTCAGGCAGCTGCAAACGACGCTCTTCGATTCTGTGCGTCTCCTTGAGGTACTGCACAACCTGTGCATCGTGTAGAGACAAAGAACCTAATCAAAATGAGGTAACCTGTTTTATATTATCATACGAGGTGCAAGAAAAGCGTCAAGTTCCGGATTTTGACACAAATTTATTAACACGCTTCAGTGAACATGTCTCAAGCGTCCAAGAGAACTGCGGAAGCAATCAGTTTCAACGTCTACAGCCGAGGCGTCGCCCGAAAGTTTTTAGCAGTAAAGCGGTCTATGCCGGTGGTTGGGTTGTCATATACTTTCAGAAAACCTCACCAAGCAATGATGTCTCAATGCGTCACCTAGCAACGCATCGGGGGAAGAAAGGAGATAGGGAAAGAAAGGTATAGAGGAGAAGAAGAAGAAATTACTATAAAAAATGAAATTTCTTAGTGCACCGGGACTCGAAGTCCATCATCCACGGTCTGAAAGCGAGAGTCGTAACTTGTCAGCTGTCTAGGCAAGCAAGCAGAACAGGCATTCATGGTATAGCCATTCATTCATTCTTTACCCGGGGGCACATTACTAGGTCCCGCGAAGTATAACAGATTCGCTGCTAAGCCTACAGTATATATGCACACGACTACTCCGTTTCTACAAACAGGTCGATCAACCTGGTATTAAGGCCAAAAAAAGTGACTCATAGGCAGCTAGACCCTGCCTTCTTCGCATAAAACCTATTGCGCAATGCGTATGATGTGTCAATAGTTTGAATTAATTGCTAAGATTGTTTTATGTCCTTAGTTAACATAGTTGTATCCTGGTTTACCATGTAAATTCAACACAAGTGTTCCAGCACTAGGATTGAAACAAGAAATGGATGAAGACATCAGTGCACGCAACAAATAAAAGACTATGACAGAATACAGGCGTAGCGGTAGCCAGTTAGTAGCAATAACTGCTCACTTCACTATACAGCAGCGTTTGGTCTGAACAAAATAGAGGAGGAAAACAAGAACGCAAGATAAAAATTAGTGAGCACTACCACAGGGAAGGCCATTCGTCACCATCATGAATTGTTTGGCATATTGCTGGATATACACTAGACAAACGCATCCTTATCATTTCAAGTATGTAACGAGGTGTTCAAGGAATTCGTGAGGACGTTCGTGAAAAATACTCACCCTTCTAACAGCTCTACGAGCATCAGGGACCACACGGCTGATGTAAAGGCTTCCTTCATTTTCCATGTAGTACAGCTTAAGTGTTTTGAAATTTACCTGCAGAAAAATATAGAGCTCATTATAACTTTTTTATTACTTGTTTCGGGGACAGTCTATTAACAATCCAACATTCCCAGCAACACGATGTTGCATTCGGGTACAACAATTTTTAGATTGAATCTATCACTAAGGAAGTCAATCTAATAGAGAAATTTTGCAGTCAATGGTCTCATTTACTGAGAGGACAGTGCCATGGTTGCATGTGCTATAATGCTGCAATGAACCCTGCACGAGTATTCCTGATGTATTTCCTGCATCGCAATCGCAGTGCAGTTGGTAGCGCCATGAGGGACGTAGAGATCAACTATATTTTCAGAAAACGAAACCTGGGGCACTGCTTATAACTCCATTTTAGTGGTCTTTCAGCCACTTCTAAAGCCGGCTTCTGCTTCGCACAAAGAGTTCCAAACGAAGCAAAGGGCAGTGTAATTTTAAGTATCCAATCCGTGCAATATCCATTTCGAATTTCGAAATAATAATTTTCGAGAAAGGGCTAACTTCTCTTGTCCACATACTAGCTAATTTGTGCTCGTTCACTTGTTTGTAAAATTTTTACTAGTCAATCATTACAAACTCGAAAAGGAATCGTTCTTTTGTTGCTTGTATTATTAGTTGTTAAATAGATTTCTTTATTTCCCACATGCGGGGGTTAGCCTGCGTCAGTTGAAATGACTGAGCCTTATTTTCAACTTCTAGCAATTGTTTAGGCGTGAGACTTACTCAAAAATTATTTTTGGTCCTTCTGGGAACAATATTTCTTCAACATATACGTGCCGAAATTCTCTTTTTTCTAAGTTGTCAAGCAGGATATTCTTTGAGCTTGTGAACCACCGCAAGCAGCAAGTGAAACGTTTCACATCAGAAACTGTATCTCGCCTTCACTCCATGATTGCGGAGCACTCTTTGTATTAGAATAAAGAGCTGTTTGAGTTTAATAAAGCACTGTTATTGCGTGTATTTCGGCAATAAATCGACACTTTGTGTTACCTGGGTTAGCAAATAGTTGCATTCATGAAGTGCGCAACTAAGGTTAGTCGCTGTATGATCAGGCCCCATAATATTGTATTTATTAGACGCGAAGCAGCTCCTTGAATAGCCTGTATAACGCTGTTCATCCGTGTCTCCATGCCAACGCACTGCACGAGTTAGTGGAACGACGAGCGTTGACGTCACTTTCTCGCTCCCCGCACCAGCGGCCGGCTCCTCCCAACACATCTGGGTGGTTGGTGTTGCTCCTCTGCCCGCTCGCAATACACTTCTCTCTCGTTTCACTCTCTCCTCCACTTGCAACGCTCGGCCACACGTCGAGTGGAAACACTCTTTCGGCTCATTTATCTGCGATGAAACTTACACGAAACCAAACCTGCCTCTGTGTCTTTGCGTTTCAAAAAATGGTTACTCGAGTAAACTCTACACCGTGTTTCGCTTCAAACCGTTCTTCCAGCACCCGCGTTGACGCCCGTTTCAACCGGGTCAACGCCGTGCGCATCACTGCTGCTTCGCATCCAATCATGGTTTTCTTACGAGAGATTGTCGATAAGTTTTCCCACACAAAAGGGAGAGGGGGTTCCACAAATTGTAGCTTGACTGCGCCTGAGGCCCTATATATACATTCCTGCGATATACATGGCGAATAAACTATATGCAGTCAATGAGCAAAACTGAATGCAGTGCACACACAAGTGGGAAGCTACATAAAAGAAATAAAAAGATGGAACTATGCAAGTTGCAACAAGAGATGAAGTACTCTACTCGTATAACATAAACACAAAAAACAAGGAACCTATACAATGCACCTTACAAAATAGTGCAGTGTATTTCATACGCACCTTCTCATTTAGTCTAAACACGTCAGTGGACTTTCCCGACAGGACTTTAAGCAGCAGCGGCAGGTCTTCCGCAAACCTGGTCATGGGTCCCACACAGTTGTACTGCTCCAGTTTTTCTCCGACATCTGGGAGCAGGCCAGTGTTGGGCACCACTCCTAAGGGCGCGTTGCGTTGAAAATACGAGAGTTAGCACGATAACGGTAGTGCCACAGTCGCCTCTGTTTGAACAGACTTGTCGAAAGACGCAACCTTAATGCTCCATCAGTAAAGCATGCTTGTTTCGTCTCATGACGGCTTTCTTATGAGACAGAATACAAGCCAGATAAAAAGAGAATGTGAAATAGACTAGGAAACAATAGTTTCGTAATATGCGCACCAAGAAATATTTAGCTCGCACGGCAGACGTTCGGGGCCAGATAGAGGCTTAAAGTTACGATAAACTATCCGAACGGGAAATGCCGTAGGAGATCACCTCTCCATGTTGCTTCCTGGAAAAAATAGAAGTCCACTTGTCTAAATGCTCGGGCCAGCGATGTTCGTGTTTAATCATGTCTCACTAGTTGGCTACAAAGGGTAAGTTCTAGAAAATAATGAGTAACATTTTATATATGGTGCTGCAAATGTATGGTCCTATCTAGGTACGCTAGCTATCATGCAAGCACCCTATCCTGATATGGTGCAGGGGCCAAACGGCTGTATATGACATGCCACTACGACTGATTATCATATTTCCGCGTTACTCAACAGCTGCGAGGGATTGAAAAAAAATAAGGGTAAATTACACAATTAACAAAAAGGCCATGTTCGCATTTGTTACCCGCTGTTGGCTTGTGGCCGAAGATGCCACAGTAGGCGGATGGTATTCGCACGCTTCCACCGATGTCCGTGCCCAAACCAATTAGGGAACCAGCCGATGCAAGAAGGCTTCCCTCTCCACCTGAGATTCACGAGAAGAACGAGCGGTCAAACAACACGCTGTGCCCAGTGTAACTGACAAGTTGATTAAAATTGGCCAAAATAGCATAATATCAAAACTAGGACGGAGGATACGAGACACACAAGCAAGCAACAAGTCGTGGATGTTAAAGCTGCATAACAGCCCATTAAGCTTTAGGAGCCGCCCTAACGACAAGCTCCAGCTCAACTACGCCCCTAGGATGCGCAGTCAAAGCTTAACTAAAGTGTATATCTGCATGCCGCAGCGTAAACCACTCTCCTCCGCCCTGCCATGGTGTTTAAGCATTGAAGCTCCCAGAACAAAGCGAGCCTTAGACCATGTCACGAATATACGTGGCCAGACAGCGTACAACATCCGTGGTGCAGAAAGTACGACGCCAGCATCATATTGAGCCCCGACATTCTTTAAAACAATTGGCACAATGTGTACAGAAGAACCGAAAACCAGTGACGCGTCTAGCATTCTGCGCTAGCCATTATTGCAATGTTTCATTTCTGTTAAGACTTCTTCTAATCCGTTTAGGGGCATCATGATCTCGATGGCATGCTGATTCCAACCTTCCAGAGAGAACACTGCCTGAAGCGATGTTTACACTACTTCTGGCAGACCACAAACAAGATACGACCGGTCCTTGCTCAATCACCCTCGAGTGTCGGGAGCCTTATCACACAACAAAGGCTTCCCGATTTGTTTGCTTTTCTTCATTTGGGCTTCCTTTTGTCTACGTTCAATTTTCTAATGTTTTACTTTCCATCGCACATGCATGAAAATATCCAGCGGCAAATCGGGGCATTGAAATTATTACGATAGTTATATGACTCATTAGTCACACAAAAATTTGCTTCTTTGATAGCTTCCTTAAACTACATATATGAAAGAGTTGAAACTGTGGAATTTTCACAATGGCTGCACTGATTTTCCCTTACATGAGCACATGGGCCAAAATTCTGAGGCAGAATGATCGCCGGGTGCCGTGAATCTTCAAGTCGCCTACACGAGATTCCAATCGCTTGTCGTATTTTCTTTTTTTATTTGCTTTTTTCGTCAAATATTAGTACTTAGTGATCATCACGTGAACAAATTGTGCGTTTGTCAATGACGTTTAGTAAATATCTGTGTTCAAGTCGTTGGGAAAATGAACTGTTAACGTTAATCATGCACTGACAAGCGAGCATTAAATCGAATGAAAAGTACACTGGAGACAGCGTTCAAGAGCGAATATGTGCTTTCGTTCTTGCCTGCGTATATTCGCTGTACATCAGAACTATAGCGGTTTTCTCAACTCCCCGGCATATTTCATTGAAACATTTATTAGAATTGAAAATATTTTCAATATGGGCGAAAATTCATTCAATTTCCACTTACTGTGGAAATGATTATTATTTACGTTATAGCTCAGTAGCATCTGGCAACTCTTGAATAAAGACAAAAATTTATAAAGAATGATAAAACCATAAGAAGAGCGAGAAATATGGGAAAAAACCTGATGGTTTTTCTTGATATGGGAAAAAAACTGATGAATGAAGCTCCTTGGATATGAACAAACACGACAATGCACCTGACCTCGCTGCTGAATTTTATGAAGGTGGCAGTGCGGGCAGCGCGGGGAGAGTGTGAGGGCTGCACTCGCTGGCGGGAACGGCCGAGCTATTGAGTGTGCGGCGAGCCCAGCGCAACGCAAGCCACCAGCCTGACCGGGCTGCAGAAATTAGGTGTCTTTTTCCTCTTCTAACCACTGCCACCACCACCATCTGCCGCCGTTCCTTCGCTCCCGCTGCGCTGGGAGCACACCTGTTCTCTTGCTCGGCGTACTTGTGCAGCGCAGGTAGCTTCGACGATTACGGCGAAGTGGTGGCCTACGGACATTCACTCCTAAAAATTACGGCAGCTTCGTAATATTGGTGCCAAGCCTGCAGGAAGTGTAGAGCTGGGCAGCCTTTTTTTATATTTTTTCCTCCGCTCTTTCTTGCATTTCCAGCTTTTTTTCTGCCCATTTTCTCTTTATTTACATATATTTCCGCTTTTCTTCCTATTTTTCTCTTTTGTTTCTTTTTTTCAGTTTCTCGCTTGCTTCCTTCTTTTTTTTCAAGTTTTATGCGTGTTTGTTGTTTAGAGTGCTTCAATCTTAATATCAAGGCAGAAGAAGAACAAGAGGAACAAGTATTCTCTGGCGCGAGCACGCGCTCAATATTCTACACATGGCTCGGCTGTATATCGCTTTGCCTGCACTAAAATTATAATCAGGGCACTCGAAGAACCAGAGGAAGAAGACTTATCTTTCGCGCGAGCGAGCACTACAGATGGCTATCCTGTACACGGTGTTGCCTGCCTTACGCCAAGCGACGACGACAGGATACGATCACAGCCTACTCCCCTTAAGTGCAACACATTTCAAAACAGACATGAAAATAAAATAGAAAGCACAGAAAGTTAAACTAAAATAGAAAGAGAGAAAGAAGCGGAGAGGGAGAAAAAGAGTACAAGAGAAACGAGAAACGGAGGCTCATAGTGGGCTGGCAGATCTACTGCGGCTGGCTTCGCTTGCCGTAACGGGATTGTCGGGGTTTCTCCGATTGGTTACAGAACACAGTAGATTGGTTTGCGGCGTCTGCAATGCGCATAGAGATGCACAAAGCACTCGAACATTGACAGTTTCTGTGGCAATATGTAAGCAATGTTACTTTGCACAACTGCGGATAGTTAAAACTGCCAACACAGTTTGCATTGCCGATACACGGAGTTACGCTGAGAATTCGCATTAAGGGAATATCGTGATCATGGGGGAATTTTTTTTCCTTTTTATCAGTTCTACAAGTCTCGCAACTGATAACCATAATGGTTAAAAGAACGACGGAAAACAGTTTTTCCTGCAAGAGAGAGCGCATTTCAGACGAAATCGCTGACGCACAGCAGAGCACAAAAATTGCAGACAATAGCTGAGACTCGTTCATGTGTTCCCGCCAGTTACGTATAGCGAAAATACTCACCGCTGCTTCCACCTGGGCTTCGGCGCGTGTCGTGCGGGTTTCGCGTGCAACCGTCCACGAGGTTCAGCGAATCATCCCACATGCACAGTTCGGGCACGTTGGTCAGAGCCAGGGGGATGGCTCCGGCTGCCCTGAGGAAGGCCACGGTCGGGGCGTCTTCCACCGCACGCCGTCCATGCCAGAAAATGGACCCCGCGTCCTGTCGCATACCTACGAGGCAAACATAGTTTCACAGCTGAAATCCTCGACACAGGCGTTCTTCTTCTGGCCGCTCTCTCTACAGGCATGCATAGTGAATGCAGTGTCGAATTTAAGGCCACCATGCAAATTGAATGTGACTACATAGTGGAGGAAACATAACCAATATGACGTTTTCTTGCCAGGCATTAGATCATATCGTCTTTCGTGATGTTTGTTTTTCTCCACGGGAATCATAGACATACTAAAGAAAGTTTTTCGGAATGCAAATGAAAAAAAAATCCGAGAACAAATGTGCTGTTCTTGAAACGGTGTCAGACAGCGCACTCACCGGTTCCTCGATACGCTGCAGCTCTAGCTTTTGTTTCTCTTCTCTTTGTTCGACAAGTTTGATATAGATGAAACCTTCTAAAACGGCAAGTTCTTCACCGTTGAGTTCACCATACTCTTCAAGGTATATATTTTCTCACCATTTACATCGATGACTATTCAACCAGGGGGCAGACATGAGTGCGCGAAACTTGAACGCATGACAGAGGGTAAGTTCTCAGCATCTTTTCAATTTTTTTCCTGGCTACTCAATCTTCCTTGTTTGTGAAGGAGCTTCATAGGGTTTATCTATCACTCTTATCTTTCTTCGAAGTTACCAAATGCGAAATATTTCTTAGCGAACTGCACCTACCTTGAACATTTATTTATTTATTCATTTATTTATTTATTTATTTCCTTATATCTATCTATCTGTCTATCTGTCCTCATATGGGGTTCTTGTGATCGGCTCTTTAACTTGGTGTAGACCAAACATGGTATGGATAGGGGGGGGGGGGGAAGAGTTTGAGGAGTTTGACTGTCTTGTCATGGTCGACATGATTAATGGGGAAATCCTGCCACGTACATCGTCAAGTCCTTTTCTCTATAAACGCGTGGCACATACCTGTATACCACGCGCCACGGTACGCGGGTATGTGTCACACGTTATAGAGAGTTTATGTTTACCCCGGAATGGCGAGGACAGGCGTTAGTAACTTCAATGTGAAAGCGTTAAAATAAACTGACATCGGCAGCGCAGACCTGACGAATACAAAAATAAAAAGTCAGGAGATCAGCAAAATCAAATCCAAGCGTCCTGCATGGCAATCAGGTAATCTACCACAGAGCCATGCAAGGTCTTGAAACTGCTTTGAAAAAAGACGCTACGCAGGCGCACAAGGTTGGTGCGACTTCAATTGTGATTGCAGTGGTGGCTATCTAAATCTATAACAAATCAATTAACATTACTATCTAAATCAATAACACGGATGTCAGGCCGCGTTAGCGTCAAGTGCGGTTTCAAGGTTGACTCCACTTCTATAGCAGTCCAATGAACAGTGTATATTTATCTCTATGATTGAGCAAGCTATATTCAAGCGTTTCTTGACCCTGGTGAAATGCGCTGACAAAAGTTGAATTTGATATCCACATCCCCATACTGTAAAGCGCACTTTGTTACAATAATACTGACGTCTGCGTTCTAAACGAGTGTTAACGTTACCTCAGACCATAAGATATCTAGTGTAGTCTTCAGTAGTCATAGTGGGCGTTCCAGGTAAACCAACGCTCTGCACACAACTACTGCCATTAACGTTGATGCTCCTCGTAGCACTTGCCTCAACGCCGAAATAAAAAAATCATTACACACTTCAGCATTATGCTTCGCCTATAACATGGAGTAATCAAAGAACAACACTCCAGCGTACCCCTGCTGCGGGTGGTAGTGCGTACGTCAGAAGTGGGAGTCGTTACGCAACAATGAACAACCACATTTAACATTTACGTGTTTTCTAGATGCGCGAATGCGTATAAAATTTTTACATGAGTTTCCCGCCTCTTAATCCCGCCTCAAGAGGTCCTTATACAGTCTTTGGCTTTGAGACCTTCTTTTGTATACTAAACATATGTCACATTCTTGTATTCGTATCCATTAAAAATCTGAAACCTGAATCTGAATCTGAATCCATCCGCCTCGTAACATCATGCTCATTTTAAAAGTGCCACATATCAAAACTTCCTGATTCATGCTTCTTTTTGATTCACGTGGTACGTGAGATCTGCCCAATTTTTTTCAATCTTAGTATTCCAGCTAGCCGTAAATAACCTTTGATGGCGATGCTGTTTTTGGCAGTAAAGGGGAGCCCTAGAAGTGGCTTCTCTTCTTTCATTTTGCTTGTGCTCATGATTCCTGAGGCGACCAGTCTGTCGACTTCTTTGGCATCTTCCAGTGCCTCTTTGAACCTATCTTCGACGACAGCGTTGATTATGGGTTGCACTTCCTTGATTCGGCTGATGTAGGCTGAAACTAGGTCGAAGCTTTTGATCTGCAAGGGTGAAAAGAAAACTGTTAAAACTACACGAATGGTTTGCCATTGTCAATTCAGACAATGTCAGACAACATAATTGCAATCGCTTTCAGGCACGTATTCCGCATTATGTACCGACTACTTTGCTATCCTGTATTTTAGAAACATTTCTTTTCCCTCAGCGCAGGCAGTTTCATTAAACACCATTAACTTCACATCACCAGCAGTATTCAATATCAGTGACAGGCTGATACGAGTAACTTGAACAAACACAAGTGTACATATCACATTCAGGTTAGCTGAAGGGCCTTTTGAGACACGTTGACACACGTCCGCGTGGAAGTCCCGCTGTGTCTTCCTCGAAAGGAAACGTCGTTATTATAGAGTTGCCATTAACTCACCCCTGTGCTTTATCAGCCCAGATTACGGAAACAAGAGATGTGGTTACATCAACAGCATCGTAGCCTATTTTCTTCAAAGACATTCTTGAAAAATGAATTCAAAAAGGGCATTTCGAACAGTAGTTTCAGTGCATGGGATCAGCTCTGTTTCGAAATTCAGTCACGTGCCGTGTGATAAACAGCTGCTCCTACCATCCGCCGTCACAGAATGGGACCCACTTCACAAGAGTGGCTCAAGAGCTGCTGGGCTACAACTGCATTTGACAAGTGTCGCCAGCCATCTCACCGTGTAAGGCTATATTGGCTCCAAGTATGGTATTCTTTTCGACCCTGCGAAGCCTGCAGGTGGTCTCACCGTTTTCGAGGCTTACTACAGCGAGAAAATTCTATGGTTTCGTTCACCTCTGTTCACTTTTGTCTCGTCGTTTACATTTTTTCACCCATTACCCCCTTCTTTCTATAGCATCTCGAAGACAACAAAGAAATAACATTATATGCCACTTGTGAAGACACGTACTCAACACGAAACAATCTCCTAACCTTTTCACATATTGCCCGCCATGCAGATTTTCAGATTTTCTGGCACAGATTTGAACTGTCTCTAGTGGGGTGGGTCTCGGCATTATATTTGCCAAAAACAATTCCGGTTTCTATTAGATGTTCTCTCTTCTGCTAGCCACACTTTACTAAGGTATAAACAAACAATTATATCAAAAATATTTAACATATTACCATGGTTATTCAAATTCAGAATTTACATCTATAAGTCCGTATGGATGGCTATTTAGCATCATTCGTCACTACAGTGTCATCTGCTGGTGTCTTTAGAAACGGACTTCGTTGTCGCCGAGTGCCTTACAAAATGTGCTGTGTATGGTGCACCGTATAAAATGAGGATGTAGGATAAGTGTGGCGACTTGCTATGCTCTTTTCACCAAAGGCGTCACGTGTCGGCTCGGCGAACAATTCTTCGAGGTGAAATGACTGCTCATAACGCACAAAATGACAACCAAGCATCAAAAATAATCAGTTAAGCAATATTAAATCGGCACTATACTCTGCAGAAGACTATTGCAATCACCATATAATATCTTCAACATGACACGCAATGCACGATACGCACCTAACTTCGCATTCTACGACAAGCTGAAAAATTGATAACAGGAACTCTGCAATATGACTCGGCTACTAAGGTGCGGACAACTGCGCTACTGTTTGAGTTATATTAACATTGCAAAGAATTGGCTGCCGGGGGTGCATACAATAAGATTCCTTCATAAACTATGCTCAAGTTTGAAACTGCCATCATCCGCAATCTTGACAGCCATAATATATATGTACAAACAAGCTACTGAGTGGCATGTCTAGAGTTTACCATCGGCAACCATGCTGTACGACAGTCTAGTAGTTCATCCCACTTCACATCATACAACACTTTTCCGTATACCACGAATTTCTGGCTATTTTTGTAGGGGAAAGAACTGTAGAACGTTTGAGTGAACTCTCCGAAGATCGTGCTACATACCCGCACCACTCCCATTTAAGGGCCATCATATGGTAGACATTGTTAGGAGAAAAAATGCTTAATTTCTATTTTCGCGCCTCATCCAGCGTACACCCCTAGGAAGACTCACACTCACGTGGGCGTGTGTTGCCGTGGCTACGCGGGCAGTCCTCAAGTTTTGTGGGAGTGTCCCTGGAGCTTCAAAGCAGCGCAGATAAGCCTTGATTCACTGTACCCCCTAACCTTAGTGGTGCTATATCATATAGTATGTTACAGCCCAAGAATTAATGTAAGCTCCTCCGAGAGCCGTCAAGGGCCCACCTAGAGAGAATTAGCACGCATGTCATTTACGTGCAAAGAACTAATAGTGAATGGTTTAGAGTACTGCATACTTTACTGCGGGCGAGTCATAAGCCATCGTACTATTGTAAGATTATCTAATCGCATTTACTCGTTTCTGTCATGCTAACCACGCTTTCGTTAATTCAGGTAGGGGATCTTCCCTTACAGGCACATGATCGCGTCCTTGATTTTCGATCGAAAACTTGAATTTTCTCTTGTATTTGTGGAAAGATTTTGGTATTCGCCCCGATATCAGGCTATAGAGGGCAACACCGTTACCGTGCTAGTGTGGATAAGCGGCCGGCAATGCGCTTTCTGAGCGCTGTGAGCTGATTGTCGGCAAATAAATTGCGTTGACTGCTGCCTACTGGTAATATATATGCCGTCCGTTGCTTAACGGATGCACGAAGCTCACCGAACGTTACTATTACTTGTGACAGTAACGCAGTCTGCCATTAAAAGGGAAGTTCGCGCTTGACGACTGTATGCGCTTTAGCACTGCAGTGTGTCACATTTCTTGTATTTTTTTATTTCAGGTGTTGAGCTTGTTTCTCGTCTACAATGCACTGCTGTAGCATTACTGAATTTATTCATGCACGCTGGTCCTGATTGCCGACCACCTCAAACCTCCCCCCCCCCCCCCAAAAAAAAGGAAGAAATGCGATATTTCTGGGCGATGAACCTAAAAATATAGCGATTACTCATCCGCATTTTCCTCTTAATATATTTACTCGTATAATAAACGTAGGACAGTCGGTAAGTTTATTTAGCAAAGCTACGTGACTTACAACGCCTAATCACGCTTGTTCTTCGTCCTATAACAGTACAAAAAGATAATAGAACAGCCCGCAGCTTTCTTATATTGATTATATGTATCACAGTGATGCAAAGGTTTGGTAATTCGATGGAACAAAGATTTTTTTTTTAAAGCGATTGTGTGTCCACTTCATCCGTCCGTCTAGCACAACGCCCCAAAAACGCTCAAGATAGTGTTAAAAACATAAAATGACGTTGTTCTTGTAATTATACGACATATGTGAGGCACGCCGTCTGGATTAATTTTGACAATCTGGCCCCTTTCAAGTGAACTGAAATGTAAAAACACAGGTTAGGCAATTAGGAAACTCCAATCAGAAATTGTAATACAGCGCTTGAGTCGGCCCTTGGTCTGGATTTGAAACGTCTGTTTTCTGAATACACATTTTAGTTGAAGTTATTTAATTGCCTCATTCCTATCCCAACGAGGCAGACTTCTGCCAAATGTTCACCTTTGATACGACCACGGGTCTACCTGTATAAATGTCGCCCAATGCTAAAACTGCGCACGGCAAATCAAGTTTAATGAGCTCCGTGTCATTCAACTGAGGCAATGAAGTGTCAGAATTTACTGTACAGCAGTGTCATGGGATAAGGACCGTAAAATACAAGGTTATCTCAAGCACAATTAAAGCTCATCGCATAACTGATAAGCAAGGACGCCGCAATTTTGTTTTGAAGTATATAGACACCTAATAGCAATGCAAAGCTTTCGTTCATCCTTGAGTCACTAAAACGCTGCATTCACACAATATTATTATTCCTCATGTTTGGGACGACGCCAAGTGCCCTTTACGATGGGCTTCAGCTAAAAAGCACACCTACACCAGCATGATCCTGGCGAAGAGAGGCGACGGCGACGATACACATCACTCTCGCCAAGTGCTCAACCTCACCTTATTGCGGTACACATACCAGCTAGTAAGGCCAAATGCTTCTGTGGACCGTGCCAGGCAAACGTACAAGCAAATACTCTTGTGCTAAGAGAGTGGGACAAACCACCCTTTGAGTACGAGCATGACGTACGTGCACGTGCTAGCCTATGTGGATAGCAGACGACGCAGGGAGCAATCCACCGCTTGAAGCAGTGGCAACAAGGCGGTGACTCCACTAAATCTCGGAGCGAATACCCTTTAGCCATGCGTAATATTTTAAATAGTAATGGCAAGCTTTTAATCCTAACTATGTTTTTATTAGCAGCGAGAAAGTTCTTACGCTTAGAACGGAAACCACATTACGCGACTTTCTTGCACGGCTGAATGGCAGGCGCGCAGCATTTAAGGGGCAGAAGCTTGTATTTACAGTTGCAAATGACTGTGTAGCATTGATTGGTAGACGATTCTCAGGACGCCAAGAAAGCTTTCATCACCTATATAAAGCTCCTGAGCTTGGAGTATAGCTGGGCACCTTCAAGCCCTTGCTATTGATTTAATGCATGCTAGTGAACAGGGCCTAGGAGGAATTGGTTCTATAAGATGTCTCTCTCTCTCTCTCTCTCTCTCAGCGCATGGCATGCCTTTCCACAAAGCTGCTGTCTAATTACTACCGTCCTCATGGGACCCTACACCAGACGTCCTCCGCCAAGTACATTACTGAGTCCCACTTGTCTTACATAAGTAGTGACGCTGCAAGCGAGACAAGAGTCTGGTCGAATGGCTCAAAACTACCATACAGCCCGCACAACTAGGTTTTTCTTGCGTTGCCAGAAAGGCTGGCTTTGCTCGAGTGGATGTCAGGAACAAGTGCTAGCAACAGATGCTACTTGTGCGTGCTCTGTTTGGATTCTCACCAAGCCAATTGTTTCGTTATTGCTTATTTGTACCATTGATGCCTGCGGGTAATCTTCAACGGAAGGCCCTGCAATACTTTTTGAGCATGGTCAGAAAACACTGCTGATTGGTAGTCATGGCTCCCGAGAATACGTGTGTCAAATATTATATCACAGCACGTGGCGTCGAATGAATTCTCAAAGCCAGCTAAAAATCATTTTCTCTTTCCTTTCCTCTTCCCCTTTCCTCTTCCCAAACACTGTGCATTATCTGATGTTATATCGTAAGAACCGTAGCACAATATATTATCGCACCTTTCGCGAAAGGCACAAGCACTACTAAAGCCCAAATGGTATTCAAACTCGCTAGCAAAACGAAAGTACCAGACTAGCTGAGTGATAGGCAAACCTGTTGTAATTAATTATTTCCGCAGGCGAGCTCAGGTCTTTCGTATTCGTGCAGTTAAGCCGTCCATATGAGATAACAAATAAATTAAATGGTACAGCAGCAGCAGCTTTGCTTTCAGTCCTTGACGGGTTAAGCTATGCACGTGGGGTGAGAAACAAATCGAAAAGAAAGAAAATAAAGTAGCAGCTGCATCTGAGAATGTCAGACGGGGTTATTTTTCCTGATCGTGCTGGTATGATGTGTAGCTGTATGGTGAAACTTCATATAGACCCCGGATAGACACGACTAGAGCGTATGTCTGAATATTTGTCAAACTCTTTTATCAACGCCATTAAATTTCGGTGTCTTTCGTAGGCTGCTATGTTTTCAGATAAATCACAAAAAATATTCGATAAACACCCACCGGTGACGTACACGTACTTGAGGGAGAAAGACAGGGAGGACTCTTCATTGAAAAAAAAAAAAAGTCCCACCGGAGATTTGGCCAATAAACTTCGATTTTATGAACCCCTTTGGCCTTGTCTTTTTTGCTCAATTTTTGACTCTTATCAAAAAGCCACAATCTAAACGGTCATTGACGAATAGGTCGGTCTTGCTGACGTGAGCTTTAGCACGGGTCAAGAATATCTCGTAGGGCGCACCCATCGCTTATTGGACGAACAGCATGTTGCGCTCCGAGCGACGGACCTCAACATGGTATGTACAGCTTTGTAGGAAATCGTTGCTAGATAGTTGGTGTATATATATACACTTGACGACATCTTCATTTTAGTACTGAAAAGGCAAGCAAATGAGAAAACCGTGGAAATTGTGAGTGGCGCCTGCCTGCACTGTTTCATGGGTGTTTCTTTTGATAGATAAAGTGAAAATGTCCTAATGTAGTAGCCCCGAAAGCTCGAGACAACTCGATGCACAATCCGCAGGCAGCACTGATGGGGTGCACCAGACGACGTTGAATGTATATACGAATTTCGTTAAGCATGCTTGAGTCTATTAATACAAACTTTGTTAGCAACAAAGATAAATATTTTGTATCGAAGTATTTATGTTTGTGTATACGAGTGACCGCATTGAGAGCTTCCAGACAACAAAAATGCGATTCCTGTGTTCTGCTATTTTTGGGTTCGAATATCATTTAATCTAAAATATCTGAGTAATGAAAACAGTGAAAAGTCAAACACAGTAATTCGAAGAATAGGTGATTTAAAAAAAATTAATTGTGATAACCGCCAAATTTCCGCCAGAAATAATAAACTCCAAAAAACGCTCTCTGACTTTCAAGAAAAATAAACTTCGAAAACACGGAGCTGTATATATTTGGCATCTGCAAAAAGAAATCAGCGAAATCATGCAGGGCAGCTAAATGACGTTCAAAAAGTCACTGTACCTGTCCATTTCTGATGTCCTCGGCGAGAGATGTGGCGGAGCGGAGCAAGAGCTCGTCGGTGACAGGTGGCAGCGGTTGAGGCTTCTTCCAGAAGTTCCACAGGGCGAACACAAGCCTAACCGCATTGCACCACAAGAATACGCCCAACTCCAGCAGCAGCTCGCGACCGTTTTCCAAGGCGGGAGCCATCGCACGGCGGACGCTGCGGGAGGCGACGTGTACGTCTACGACGTATCGCGGCACGGAGGATACTCCCAGGCTTTGGCGTTATCTGGTTTCAGAGAGGCGCGGCGAGAGCGTACACACATTCGTATCACTTGCTCTCGGCAGCACACAAATAGCGGACGCGAGACGACAACACCATGGTCGCCTGGCAAGAAAAAAAAAACAACGCAGACAATACAATGGGGTTCCCCGGGGATAGGGGTGTATTGTTTCAGAGAGCGCGTCGTCGCTCTTTATGCAGCTGCGGCTGGCTCTCTCGGTTAGCGGCCGTGCTTGTGCGTGTTTAGAGTGGAAGTTGCATTAGTAGGAAACAATATGTCGTTATTTCCACAAAACGGTGTGTCACGTCGGGTCGATGCAAATTTACCCTCGAATTCACAAACACTCCTCGACTCGACCTTCACCCTTCACTTGACAGAGTTTAGCACTGCGCCACCGCTCGGCTGAAAATGACGCTGCGCTACTCAAGAATCGCAGCAGACTATCGCTGATATGCAGTGACTTGCCGTATCTAGAGATGGCGCTTCCAGAGGCTTTTTTAAATAAAGGCGAAGCGTTGAGAGAAGGCAGGTTTTGAAACACAGGGGTTAAAGGGGCAAAATGCTTCCTAGACGCGGGTTTTTCCATATTCTGCTGATATTTTCAGCGTTGAGGAGCCTTTCACAATTTCAAGTTCACTTTTTTATCGAATCTCACAAGCGTGTATTCGTGATGCTTTACGGAATCATGCTTTAGCTGCAAGTAGAAATTAATTCGCTTAGCTACCTCAAGGTATGAGTGCTCAATTTAGAAGTAGTAGAAATTTATTTGAGTTTGAGTCAGGCCCGTTGCCAGAGATTTTTTTCGGGCATGGTCCAACTATTGAAGGCCTTGAAAAACACCTTTGTTTTTTATTAACGTACACGGTAAAGCACACACCTCCATCCAAACTTCGGGGCAGCGGGGCTCAGCTTTCCCTCTTCCTTTATCTCCGGCTACAGGCCTAGTTAGAATGAATTTATACGTGGTTTCGCTACCGCTGGCAATGTTGCGCTGTTGACTACTGGACCAGAACTACAGTAACAACGTGCACATCTACACGGATGGTTCGACTACGTCGTCTAGTTCTGGTGGAGCAGTGGTTATATCATCACAAGAGGTAACTCTGCTGTATTAAAATTTCGCATGCGACGACGTCCACGGCAGCAGAACTCACGGCTCTGCGTAGTACACTGGAACTCATCGATTCTAAAGAAAGACGAAGTAAATGTGCCGTGCTTTCTGACTTAAAACTGGCGTTGCAGTGCCTGCGGTCAGTTCTCCGACGCGGATGACACGACAAGTTGACATATAAAACCGTGAAACTTCACCACTTCTCAATTTAAAAGGACCACGACTTCGTTATTCAGTGGTTACCTGAGCATTGTGGTATCAGCGGAAATGATTCCGCAGGCCATGCTGCTCACGCGTCATATCAGGAAGCAAATAGCGTTCCGATTCCGCTTTCAAGAACAGACGCAGCGAGGTACATTAGTCAACTGACCCACATTTTCACGCTGACTGAGTGAAACACACCAAGCATACGTCATACCAGACTAAATTAACTAGACCCTTCACTACCAGTCAGGTCTCCACCTGGCCTATATCGACGTGAAAATTCGCTTCTTTATCGCCTTTGGCTGAGTTGCTTTCGCAGGAGCATGTGCGTCGTTAATCAGAATAAGTGACAGTGCGGCATGCGATGTTTGTGGCACTGATGAAAATATTGAACACATGTTGTGCCACTGTCCTCAATTTGCCTCAGAGAGACAAGCACTTTCCAACACATTACGACCACTGGATAATAGTCTACTTTCTGTGCAGCTACTATTGCAGCACCGTCCACATCTTTCGACAGCCCACAAGGCAATAAAATCCCTCTTGTGTGTGTGTTTTTTTTAGGAAGACGGGTGAATGCCTTTGACTAGTGGTGGATTTCTACACGCTGCAATGAATTTACTGTCTGTCTCTCCCTTTTCCTTCCCTTCCCTCCTTCCCCTGTCTTGTCTCCTTCTCTAATCCCCCAGTGTAGGGTAGCCAACCGGATGTATTTCTGGTTAAGCTCCCTGCCTTCTCCAATTGTCTGCTTCCTTCGTTCCTTTCTTGCGCTGTAGAGGGCATGTGGCGGATGGACTGACTGCGAGACAAGCGGTATGGCTATTCATTATCCGTCAACCAAGTAGCGGCGACACGCGAAGGCGGGCCACCGCAACGAGTGGGGGAAAGAAAAAGAAGATGATGAAATTGTAGAACATGTTTTAGGCATATACAAAAGCACCGTGCAAGAGATAACACACGGAGTAACGTTAACGGCACAAAGTTCATGTTACATACTTAAGGGTGCGGGGGCGCGAGTTCCAACGCTCACCACAGCGCCTTCGCTGGAAATGCACTCAACAAAATCTCTGGCTACGCTTGTGTTTGTACGCTTTGCTGGCCACGAAGCGCTTCAAACTCGGACGTTTCTCAGTATAGAGTCAGGGTGCTGCCAGCAGTTGGCAACATTTTAGGTGCAGAGCCGAGTTGCATGAAGCCTAAACGACCATGACCGGATCCAAATCAAGATATATTGTAGGGGGTGATGGGATTTTGCAGCCAAAGTGACAAAGATTCGGTGCATTCACAATAATGTGCCAAACTGGAATAGAAACCATGTAAATTTTTAGCACGCATCTCACGGAGTTGCAATTGACAAACATGAAGTGGCTTCCATGACCTAACATATTCTCAACGAATCTTTCTTCCCCTTCTTTCTGGACCTGCGCAGAGAAAGCTAGGAACGACCTTGTCCGACTAAGTGTGAATATGGGGGACAAGGCCAACTTCTTTCTTCTTTTCTATCCCCACTTAGGATCAAACGTCATTACGGCTCTCGGTTGAGAAGTGAAAGGGTGCGCTAGTGTGTGTCGGGCACCACTTAACAGTCGCCTTAGGCTGCAGGTTGCCGACCATATCTCTATGGGATCATTACTCTGTCAAGTAAAACGCCACAGTTTCCCGAAAAAGTGCTCGGGGTGCTTTCAATGATGAGATCGAGTGCAATCCGAGGGCTTTTTGGAATACCACAAAAACTCGCATATATTATCTGTCCACTTTATTCAAGGAAGGTAGGCTTAATTCACCCTCTGGCATCACTAACGTGATGCTATAGCGTTTGTCCAAAACTATCATTTACAACAAGTTTCCCTATCCATGTCCCAGGGAAGCCTTTGTCGTCTTCACATGCATGCCAAACCACAAAGCTGGTTCGAAGGCGTAAAAACCACCCGAGGCTGAAAATTACCACTCGAGGCTAAGAACTTCTTCACAGCACGTTTGTTGTACATATGCCAAGCTCATATTATTCGCCGTATGAAAAAAGCGCCCCGCCGCAGAGGTCTAGTGGCTAAGGTACTCGGCTGCTGACCCGCAGGTCACGGGATCAAATCCCGGCTGCAGCAGCTGCATTTCCGATGGAGGCGGAAATATTGTAGGCCCGCGTGCTCAGATTTGGGTGCTCGTTAAAGAACCCCAGGTGGTAGAAATTACCGAAGACCTCCACTACGGTGTCTCTTATAATCAGATGGTGGTTTTGGGACGTTCAACCCCACATATCAATGAAGTATGAAAAGAGCAATGCTCGCGACGTATAATCAATATGATCTGCCACTCAGGCCACGCCGCAGTTAGGGTGGCACCTGCGGTTATTGTTTGTCGCCGTTTTATGTGAAGGTTTTACATATTTCAACAATGAGAACCACGCTAACTCGTGAGTTTACATAGCTGTCAGCAGCTATACAGGTCGCCTGTAAATCCTGCATTGTCAGGCGGCTCAGTAATGCTCTAGTCTTGCCGTCAATGGTCATCGTCGTACCCAAGTCGATTATTCCTTGCTTTAGAACATGAATTCTACATGTAGATGAATTACGTTAAAAGCATCCGATGAACCTCTAGTCAGCTCTCAAGAGTGATAGCATGTCAATAGCGTAGACAAGCCTGCGTGGTGATTTAGTGCAATAAATATGCTGTCCATTATCCAAGTTTCACTGGACGCTTAAGAACGTTATCAAGGACGATTGCACCCGATCTCTACCAAAAAACCACAAATCGCCACGGTGGTCTAGTAGTTATCATGCTCGACTGATGAACCGAAGGTTGTGGGATCGAATCCCGGCCGCTCTTTCGATGAAGACGAAAAAGTTTAGGGCCCGTGTACTTAGACTTTCAGGAGTGCCTCTACTTCCCTGTACGTCGTGTCATAATTATATCATGGTTTTCGGACAATAAACACCCACAATTATTATTATATCAAAAGTGCCCACTACAATACTCATTTTATTCTTACGCATTATTCTGCAACAACATTCTGAAAGTGGCTGTCGAAAACTTTTAAGCTTAGGTTTCTTATATGCAACGTGTCATTTTGTGCATCATTGTTTCCTTTCGGGTAGTTGCTACACACTGCTTTCTAGGCATCTGGGGGAGGATGGCAGTGATAACTGCACGGTTGAAACAAATGCGTCCCGCTGACACCAGTGGGTTCGTTGATAAGCAACCAAGACTGCAAGTCCAACATTGACGTTTCCTCTGGTTTTTGCTCAGGCGCACGTAGTTGTTTTTCAAAACAAAAGCGTCCCGCTAACACTAGTGAGCCCGTTGATAAGCAACCAAGACTGCAAGTCCAACATTGACGTTTTCTCGGCTTTTTGCTCAGGCGTACGTAGTTGTTTTAGCTGCGAAGCAGCTTATAGTCGAGCTCAACCAGGTGTGAGTGACCCCTCGTAACGCGCATGCGCAACAGCTGGCCCAAGCACTGCCAGAACACACGCGCTACTGCGTTCGGGCCTTTGCAACGGGCTGGTAAGACACTGTGGCCTCTCCGCCTTAGACTCTTTAAGAAATCACGGGGGGGGCGTCGGGGAACAAGATTCTGCAGACGTGCGATGAACCAACGCTATGTATCCTAGTCACAAAGCGCTGACACTCGCTAGTGCGTTAGGACCTGCATAAGTTGCTATGTAAGAGGCCGTAGCCTCTCTCCCTTACACTCTATCAGCAATCACGTCATGGCATCGGGAAACTAGATTCTGCAGACGCATGATGAACCTATTCGCCCGATGGATGTATGGAT